TGAACTACATCTAATGTGGTCTTTTTCTTTGAGTTTCGGTTACCGTCGTGTAAGTACCAGTGCAATTCAGTGCTTAGGTGGCGTCCGTGATTTCTGATACATGATTCGTGGTTCCTGATCAGTGAGTAATTCAACTACTACAAATAAGCATCTGAAAGGACAGAGAAGACGTGCTCATCGCTGAAACCCTGAACAGTAATACCTTTCAAATTCGTCTCATAACCTAAAGGGGGCCGGCACAGGTTTGTGAGCAATGCACCTCTTGAACGGATTGCTTTATGCTCCCCGAATGAAAGCAGTTCCTGCAAAAGTGATGGTGAAGATTCATATCTAGTTGAGAGCAATTCTTACTCGTGTTGTCTTGTGAGAAAGTACGAACAAAGGAATGCAGCTGTTCTTTCTTTCTGACCCTCCCAAAAAGGTTTGAAATTATCTTCCATGGTATACAGTCGATGTTTATCTTAATGACAGTCACAAAACAAAAACACAATCACAAGTTGGGCCCGTATTCACGCAAACGTTTCAGAGCGGTAGAACGTGTCTGCACCGTCCGAAATATAAATATCGGAATATTATTGATCGATTTATCGGTTCCCATTGAAAATGTGCTGGGTCTGAATTGATTCCAGTCCACTTTCATCCAAAAAGCGTAATATGGGTTGTAAGTTTTAATACAGCATCTCTTCAATGCGGTTTGTCTGTATGCACAATTCAAATCCATTTCTGGACATTTTTAATCATACGCTAGTGCTTAATTCCTATTCTCCCCACTTAGAAGTATATGTGTATGGCAAGGAGAGTGCTCTGATACGACGTGACTGCTTATTGTGCTCCAATTTGACCTTAGTTTGGGATAACTTGAATATTCTTATGGCTGCAAATAAACATATCTACCGATTCCAATGTTATTGATTGCATGTTCACTTTAGATGCTACCTATTCCATTTTAGCTAGTCTAAACTAGTGAAACCATGGATCTGCTGCAAAAGACAACATGCTGTTGATTTTGGCTGTGCGTCCCAATGTTCTAAACAGACACAAACGGAATAAGATATTGACGACCGTGGTGTAGCACCAAGGTGTGGGTCTTACTACAATGGCCGACAAGGCGCCAATGTTAGACGTGCTCACCAAATGATTCTGCGTTACAGTAAACCACTGAGGTAGAACATTCCTTCAGATTACAGTGGCTTACTATTCTGAAGATATGTTGAAGGTATCTGGACAGGGACCAAAAGAAAACTACTGAGCTGACAGAAATCGTAAAAGACGATGTTCTACATAACAAAATAATTACCGAAACGCAGACGCTGAGGTGAGTTTTTTCGAGTGAAGCAAGCAGTGTAAAAAACGGAAAATGGGACTTGAGAAATATGGGTAACAGATTTTTCTAGAGGGTACTCAGGATATTATCTGATTTATCGCTGTTTGTGTTTGGTCAAAACAATGGGAAATCAAGCGACAACATCCACGTCTTCCAGAGTAGCTGTCATAACATTATTTGAGGACCAAGTGTTTATATTTCAAACTGTTTACTCTCGGCCCCGTAGCCCGTAGAANCGTAGAATAACGTTACACAGGTTACGATCAGTTTATCATGACATTCACAATCAATCGTGTCATGCGTGTGTTCAACAAGGCACCAATAGAACTAACAGCCAATCAGGATCGGGTCCATGTCGGCCGGCAGTATTGGCATGGACAAGCGCGTGAGGTTGATCAATCTGAATAAATGTCAGTGGATAAAATCTGTGTAAAGAGCAAATTTACCGACGAGCAGGTTGGCAGAGCGTACGCACCTAAGGCGCAGGGGCGTATGCAATACCACGTATGAACAAACATGACTGAACATGATTATCGTCAGTTCCGGAGTGAGCTAATAAGCTCAAATGTAACACGTCTCTACCGGATGAGTTCAAAGTGCAAATTTCGAGAGGGACGGTAAAAATATATATCACCGCTGAGGTCTAAAGGAAACAGAAGTTCAAACGAGTTGTCATCCAGCTAAAGGAATGAGCTAGGGGTTGTGCAATCAAATGGATTCTGACAAATGGCAAACCACGATTCAATACAGTGTCTCGCACAACTATTCACGAGCGAATGTGAGTCAGAAGCGGATAGTCCCGGAGTAAACAATCATTTCTGAAACCGGTGAATTGATCGTGTATTTCACCGGCCGCAACCCCCTGATCCAAATCCATGTGTTGAGAATCACGTGTGCATACCGTACTTTAAAACGTTTTTCATCCTTCCTGTGAATCCACATTCCATCCACATTATTCTCTATCGATTGTTGTGAGCGCCGCTTCGGTCAGCGTGCACGTAGAATAGAACCTGCAGATAAATGGTGTGATCGTGAGGTCATTCACTGGTTGTTGGATGATTCACTTGCTTTCCGTTAACAGGATGCGTGTGAAATCAATGTTTTCTCATGAGCAGGTAGAATCTAAATGACCTTGATCAACCAATCACTGCAAAGTGCATTACCTCGAGCAGTCAATCATCTGCGTCCGGCAAAACAACGGCCACATTTGTCTGTGTTCGTCAGGGGTAAACAAATCCAATTCGCCTAACACACTTACAAACGGCATGCACTATTTTCAGTGTAAGTGAATCACTTTTCACTGCGACGTTTTGATATAGATATTGTTCTTTGCGCAAACTCCGATGAACACTGTAGGTGATCTATTTATGGAATTTGATCCTAAATGAATGATGTTTCCTGTTCGGTGTAATCATGCTGTTTTAGAGCCAGAATATCCCTGCCGTTTTCGGTTATCTCACGGTGGTTTAGGACGCATATCAAGCATAAATTTATTTAGCATCGTATTTTCGTAATTCTCCTGTTCCATTAGTAGTCTACCATAATCACTAATGCTCTGCATGTAAAATTCAATAATTATCATTACTGGATATGTAGTTTGCAGCTGAACACAACTGTTACTGCACTGATACAATCCGTAATTATGTTCTGTGCTGGATTAAATTATCCTTACTTATCATGTAATTTCGAGTCCAACCCAATTGCCACTTCACTAATGCAATCAGTTATAGTATCCGCCGTTTATCTGTCTTCAGCAAGACAATGAAAAATGCAAGCTTGACACGGGGAATGAAGAGACATGCCGTTCTGGTCGCTTTACGTGCCAACCGTGATGCAGGAGAGATTGAAAAATTCCTCAGAGTGTCCAGATCATTCGTGTACCGATTGAAGTCTGTCCACAAGGATTCCGGCAAAAATAAGTCTTCCGGTCCAGTAACCAACCGGCGTTCCCGATACTCCGAGATTCAGAACGATGTGCCGTGCAAAAAGTAAGTTACTGGCAGCACGCGAAACTCGCGGTTGGGCAGTCACCTTAACCCGTTCATTTGTGGATCGCTTCTCTGTAGAGAACCATTCAATGGCGACCTAGAAAGCCGAGAAACACTGTACAGATGTTTTTAACCCCATCTGATCTCTCTTCAGCAGTGCGAATCAATCAACTCAAATGAGAATCTGAAATTTGGGACAGGAAAGTCAGCATTCTATTCACTTGATCACCCGAGAAGCAACGGCGTGTTGTCTTCGACCTACATGACAAAGCACAATTCAACGTGCCAACCTCCTCGCACGCACAACATCCCGCTCGTTCAGGCAGCCCTCTCCCCGGGATGTAACTCAGTTCAAAACATTCCGGAACCAACTAATCGTTACACACAATTTGAGTAAAAACATCTGGTACAGACAACAAAAAATCTAACATGCAACACCCTCAGAAGGAAGAAGGATTTGTAATTCATCAAAGACGGACGGTGATATCAGCCGTTCCTACATACATATTACGTGAACTTACTCATGGTGTCCGTCTAATACTGTCCATGTTGGTGATCATATCAGGTGACCAAGTAATACATTTGCAATTTTAATCACAGCAAAAAATTACGTGGTGCCAGTATTTAAAAGTTTATCCGCGTATACCGGTTGCCTGATTATGTTCGGAAATCACTTCGCCTGACCATATATTACTCTTTGTCCGTTCAAACCAAAGGATGACTTGTTTGAGCAATTCCTGTGATTTACTTTCTTTTATTCGGTAAAATTACAATGATTTTCACTGGATTACTCGTGTTCCGTTGGAAGTCACCTGGAGTGAACAGATGACATGGTGTTTGAATGCCGATAAACGTCGTGACTGGGGAGACTGGGGAAATTTCACTAGATTATCGGTATTGACAAACAAAAAAAACATTGTGTGAGTGTCTCCTTTCATTCCCGATATTTTCACTTCTAGGATGGCGTCCGAAGTGGCAACTCACGAGGCTACTCTCTCATGGATCCCGGTCGACGCGAACTGGACTGTCCGACTGAATGCCATCGAAGCCAATCCGGGATTTTATGTAATACGAGCGAGGCAGGGATTAGATACTGTCCCAGGCAAATGGTCTGGTAACATTCCGTACGCGTCCATCCCCTATGGTAACAAAGAACTCAAAGTTACTGAGTTCGAGGTACTGTGTGATAGCTTTTTCGGTAAAATTCTGCCAGCGTAAGTCACATCGTCAAACTGCTTTGCATGCTAATTGTTCTATGTACTACTTAAACGGTTTTTGGGATTAAATTTCAAGGAAATTGCAACAGAATCTCGATGTATAAACTAAGATTTTGCCAAACTTTTGTCTATTATATTGTAAGTCACTGTTGATAAGCACCGCTGCTAATGAAAAAGGAGTTAATCCGGACGATATGGACCAAGGCTAGACTAGAAATATATGAGTACAGTGAGCTCCATGGGTGAACCGACTGCTGGGGAATTCCTATTCGAGTAAGTAAGCTCATTAGTGCTTCGTGATCGGTTCAATCAAGGGCGCCGTTTAGACAGAACAACTTTCAAACTTTTAGGGTTATCATTCTAATTTTGAAACGTGTAGGAGGAAACCAGTCTGGTCCTGTTATTATTCTTCCCTTCAGAGCTTGAATGTAACATGGGGGTCCTAATTCTGACTGTAGGATTGTATGACACTGTACATGGAACGTCGTTTACAGATGAGATAATCTGTCTGGCCTCAGACTAGCTAGCTAAACTGTTCGCTGAAGTATTCCACGCAGTGATAAATCTTTTGTTCCGCATCTTAACTCGCTTGTTCGCTTTATCACAGATTGTTTCACTAATAAGGGTACAGCAGCCCCCCC